ATAATCGGCTTTTGCTCAGAAATTTTCAGCTGGACCATATAGTGTACAAAAAATTTCTAGTTAAAAAATAGAATGTCTGCTTTATACTTTCTTATTTGAATTATATTTTCCCATTGGTGAAAGTTACATTTAAGGTACACTTGCATTTTATATGGTTAAAAAAAGTAGTTGAAACTATCTAGTGGATTTAATTTTAAATGTACAGTATAAGAAATAAGTCAGACCTCAGTGTTTGTTACCAGGAAGAGACCACATAACTTATACCAAATTTTGACACTATTGGTCAGCCAAGGAACTGAGGTAAGGGAAGAAAAACCCCCTTGCTGCAAAGCCAGGCTTGAGGGTCACTAAGTCTAATTTCTGCTTTTTAAAGGAAACCAATTTTGTGGTACTTTGTTACAGCTGCAACACATATGTAATACATTGTGAAATGTGTTCCATTTTGGAAGACAAATATGTTCATCCTACCTGCAAACCATGACACACCTCCCATTCTAAAGCTATAAAATTTGTGCCTTTGGACCAGGATTTAGCTTAGTGGCTTCGCCCCATGCCTAGCATGTGCAAAGTCCGGAGTTTGATCCACTGTACCAAAGAACAAACAAACAAACAAAAAACCCCAAGAAAACAAAAGACTGTGCATTTGAAGATCATGGACTAGCTCTCAATCTCCCATAGTAGCTGCCCATCCTTACCAGTTGTCCTAGTATATTTTTTTGATATTTCTGGCAATGTAAACATAGGATTCGGTATACATTAAGCTGATATAGCAGGCACATTGCTTTCCCACTTTCCCACTTTTTTCATTCAGCTTATTGGTACTTTTTTGGTATACAGAACAATTATATTCATCATTGGGATCTTGTACCATTACATGATGTACCATGGTTTTAATTTTTTCCCATTCCCCTGTACTCCCTTCACCTGCTCCACCCTTCTGTATTTACAAAAATTTTATTTCCATTTTTTTCTTCTCTCATATTTTTCTTCCCCCTTATATCCTTTCCCCTACCCTTCCCACTTCCTCTACTGCTTTAGCCTTTTTTTTTTCTATTTCACATTGTCAATTATACCACTTGAACCTTATTTGCACTTTCAGTTTCTCACACCAAAGAAACTATTCCATATTTACACATGTGTCCTATTTATTTCATTCAAGAGTATGGCCTCAATATGCGTCCATTTTTCCTATGAATGACTTTAATTTCTCATGCTTTATGGCTGAGTAGTACTCCATTTTATAGAAAAATTGCATCTTCTTTATCCAGTTTCCAACTGATGAGCAATTGGGCTGTTTCCAAGTTTTAGCTATTACAAACTGTGCTGCTATAAACATGGGTGTGCATATATCACTGTGGTATGAGTCTTTTAATTCTTTTGGAAAAATACCCAGCAGAGGCATGGCTAGGTCAAATAGGACTTCTAATCCTAGTTGTTTGGGGTATCTCCATACTGATTTACATAGTGGTTGTACCAGTCTACACTCCTACCAACAATGGAGAAGGGTTCCTTTCTACCAACAACCCCATCAGCATTTGTTATTGGATAACTTCTTGATAGCAGCCATTCTTTCTGGGTGAGTTGGTATTTCTGCATTGTTTTCATCTGCATCTATCAAATTACCAGTGATGTTGAACATTTTTTCATATATTTATTTGCTGCTTTTTCTTATTTGTCTGAGAAATTTCTGTTCATCTCAGATGCCCATTTTTGAGTCAGGACTTTATATTTGGTGACTATGATTTTTTCAGTTCTTTGTGTATTCTCCATAGTAGATATTTGTCTGAGGAGCAGCTGGTACAAATTTTACCCATATTGTAAGTTATCTCTTACCTCTGTTGGTGGTATCGCTTGCACTGCAGAATTTTCTTCACGAGGGGAGATCCGAGGTGTTGTTGATGTTTTCATTAAGTTTACTGGTACTTTTTAGGTATGCAGTGCAGTTACATTCATCATTGAAATCTTGTACCTCTACATGACTTATCTTGGTTCTTATTTTTCCCCATACCCCTGCCCTCCCTCATCCCCTCTGCCCTTCCCTATTTACAAATACTTTATTCCCTTTTTTTCTTTTCTCATATTTTTCTTTTTCCTTATTTCCTTCCCTACTCTTCCTACTGCCCTTACTCCTTTAGCCCTTTTCTTCCTATTTCACATTATCTATTATACCTTTTAGTCCTTATTTACACTTTCAATTTCTCATAGTAGAGAAGCTATTTGGTATTTACACATGTGTCCTATTTATTTCACTATGTGTATGGCATCAATGTGCATCCATTTGGCTACATGTGTCTCTATTTTCTCTTTCTTTATGGCTGAGTAGCACTCCATTTTATAGAATAACTTCATCTTCTTTATCCAGTTACTAGTTGATAAGCAACTGGGCTGTTTCCAAATTTTGACTATTACAAACTCTGCCATGGTGTGCATGTATCACTATGGTATGACTCTTAATTCTTTTGGAAAGATACCCAGCAGAGGAATAGCTGGGTCAAATGGGACCTCTATTCAAAGCTGTTTGAGGCATCTCCCTATTGATTTCCACAGTGGTTGCACCAGTCTGCACTCCCACCACCAATGGAGGAGAAGGGATCCTTTCTCCCCACAACCCCGCCAGCATTTGTTATTGGTTAATTTTTTGGTAGCAGCCATTATTTCTGGGGTGAGGTGGAATCTCAGTGTTGTTTTCATCTGCATCTCTCGAATGCCCAGTGATCCCCCACTGCAATTATATTAGTGCTTATTTGGTTTTCCATGTCCCTTAATATTTGTTTTGTATACTTTGGGGCATTAGTATTTGGTGCATGTATATTAATGGTTTGAAGTTTACTTTGTCTGCAAATAAGACAGCTATCCCTATTTTTTTCCAGGTTTCTGTCACATGGAGAACAGTTTTCCATCCTTTTACTTTCAGTCTATGAGTTTATTTTTAACTATGTGCATTTCTTGACTAGAGCATAGAGTTGGATTTTGCTTCTTAATCCATTCTGCCCATCTATTTCTTTGATTGGTGAATTGAGGCAATTAACATTGATAGTTATAACTGATGTGTATTGATATAACATCAAAATTTTATTTTCCTGTTTTTAGCTCTTTTTAATTTTCCCTTCTCTTTCTTCAATTTCTTGCCTTGTCTGATGGATTTGCTCTGTTAGGCCTCATGGAGTTGTGACCTACATTGTCTTTTTCTAGGATATACAATTGTATAGAATTGTTTGGCGTTGTGGTTTTGTGTTCATGAAGTTTCTCAGGTGTTCTTTGTCATGGAAGTATCTTATTTCCTCATCAATTTTGAAAGATAGCTTTACAGGATACATTAGTCTAAACTGGAGGTTGTTTTCTTTTAGGAATTAAAATACCTCACTCCAGGATCTCCTTGACTTGAGAGTTTGTGGTGAAAAGTCTGCTGTGATTCTGATGCACTTTCCTTTGCAAGTGATTTCTTTCTTTTTTCTAACTGCTTTTAGTATTTTGTTCTTCTGTTGGGTTTCTGGGATCTTGATTATTATATGTATATGTGGAGATTTTTTTATCATGGCTATATAGAGTCCTATATGCCTCACATACCTGTCTGTCAAATTCTTTTTCTCTGTTTGGGAAGTTTTCAGTCATTAATTATGTGAACAGTTTTTTTCAAAATGTCATTTGTACTTTCTTTTGCTTTTTCATGGACTCTTATCAGTCTTATATTATTTATCTTTGGATTATCTACAAGCTGTTTGATTGATTTCTCATGGGCCCTTACTATTTTTAAGAGATTTCTCTTTTCATGGTCACTGAAATCCACCCTGTCTTCTACATCTCATATCCTGTCTTCAAATTGGCTCAGTCTGCTGTGTATACTTTCAGTAACATTTCTAATTTCCCAGATATCTGTTTGAATCTGTTTCATGGATTCCATTTATTTCCTTTGTTGGGCATTTATGGTTTCCATTTTTTTCCTATGCTGGACATTTGTGGCTTCTATCATGGTCCTGAATTCATTTATTTATTTTTTATCTCTTTCTCTTCTAGAGTCTTTAATGATGTCTTTCATTCTACTCAACATCTCTGTAGTTATTTGGGAAATTATTTCTGTTTTGTGCCTCATTCTTCTGTTTTGATACTTCCTGTGCTATTAGTTCAGGGTGTTCAGGTGTCTTTTTATCATACTCTTCCACCTTGTTTTCCCAAGAATTTGCCTTTGGCGAGCTGGAAGTTATCATTTGTGCCTTGCTTAAATGTCTTCTCTTTTCTATTTCTGTTGTTGGTTCTGTCCCTTGTTCAATTCCTGGGTTAATACTTCAATCTTCCAGCTATAGCTGGTTTTTAGGTTTTGAGTCTGTAATGAATGTTAGGCAATTTCATTTTCATTATACCAGAAAGGACAACTGATTAGATCAATCACAACATCTTAGCCCAAGTGATACAGTCAGCAACACAATAGCATGAAGCTCAGCTTAGAAAATGACAATTTGTGGTAGTTATTAATCTATCACCATTAACCATGTGAATTAAATCATAATCAAGGACCAGCCCAAAATACGTTTATAGTGAATAAACTCTTCACTATAGCAACTTTGCCTTTCAGGATGGAGACTTAGAAGGAGTTGGAGAGAGTGGGATAGACAGGGAGAAGGATAGGAAATGGTTAGAAGTGAGGGCAGAGTACACAAGAAGATCATGCAGACTCTAGGAAATTGTTTAAGACAAGAGGGAAAAACAGAATGAATAAACAAAGACAAGACTAGAACAACCTAAGAGCAATAGGGAAGCTATAAACTGTCCTCACTTTCCTTTGACATAAATGGCACTTGAGAGAAGGAAAAAGAGAAGAAAAGAAAATGAAAGAAGAATCTGAATTAAGGCAGGATCAGGAACAAAAAGGGAGATGAAGAATAATGTGGGAGAGTGAGGGAGTGAGAGAGAGAAAGAAAAGAGAAAAAGAAAAATAAGAATTTGAAAAGAGTAGAAAAAAGTAAAAACTAAAAATAAGAGGAAAAGAAGAAAAAATAGTTTTACACATTAAAAAATGAAAAATAAGAATGAACAGCCTCCTTAATGGTATATTTCTGCTATAACAACAGACAAAATGGCAAGCAGTGTGCAGATCTAAATCAATTAGTCTCAGCAAGTCAGCAACAGACCCCTGAGATCCAGGCTGATTTCTGGCTGCAAGGCCGAGGTTGAGCTCTGTGACCTCCTGAAGGTTCCAGCTGCTCTTCCCCCGAAGACAATCCAGGCTCCAATGGGTGGTGGTATTCACTTCTCCTTATCAACTCTGGTGGTCTGGTGTGCCTTAATTGCAGAGATTCTCTTTTCTTTTCCATTGAGCTTTAATTTTCATCAAGGAGCCTGAGAGAGGCCCTATTTCTTTTATTCACTTCTACTCTATCTTCTGGAGCTCAGGATAATGAACTTTATGACCCTCTGTGCCTCTGTAGTGTGGATCCAGCTACTGGCACAACCAGGAGGCCAGAGGTGGTAAGGAGTATGGTGGCATTTGGGTGGTACTGTGGGCACCTGCGTGGCTCCATACCTCACTGGTCTGCACTGCTCAGGGACCTAGGGTATGGCAGTTGCGGGTGGGGTAGTAGCTCAGCTCCACCTTCAATCTTTCTTTTTTTTTTTTTTTTTTTTTTTTTTTGGTACTGGGGATTGAACTCGGGTCTTTCCACTTGCAAGGCAGGCCACCAAACCGCTGAGCTAAATCCCCTGCCCCATACCCTGACTTTTTGTCTATTCAAATTTATATCTCTTCTGAGGTTTGTCAATGCCCATGATTACTTTGTTTCTTTTTTTTTTTTTTTTTTTTTTTTTTTTTGTACCAGGGATGGAACTCAGGACCTTGCACTTACCAGCGAGCACTGTACAACTGAGCTAAATCCCTAGCCCCCATGATTGCTTTGTTCCTTAAACTTTAATTGTCCATCATTTCATTGCAAAATTCTACTGCTTGCATACTTAGATTACTACAATTATTTTTTACCTCATAGAAATCCTCAATGTTAATCACTCTGCTTTCTCCCCTGCTAATAATCTGTTCATATCCTTTCTCTCCTTTCTAAGCTTCTGTTGATTATCCCTACTACATTCAAATAAATTTTCTCAACTTTAAGCTCTTATTTCTTTTTACCACAATTGACAAAAAATTATAATTCTAAGCAATTTAATATTTGTCTATTACCACTCCTTTATTGAGTCGACCAAACCATTTTCAGAACAAGAGCATAATATCATGGATAAGAGAAATTCATATTCACTAATTCAGGAATAGCACTGGGAATACTTTTAATTTTGGCTTACATCATTTCTTATTGATCACAGCTAATGTACACTTTCTTTATTGCCTTTATCACTCTCAGGTATTTAATGTAACATCCCTTTTATTAGTAAATGGACATGCTAAGACAAGAAACTTCTCAACATTAGGCCACCAATTTCAGAATCTGAATAAATATTAATCCCTAACTTCTTTTTAATGTTCTTGGAGGAAGTGTTAGCTCTATGATTATTCTCTTGATATATTTTCCTCTTAAATCTTCCTTTGATTTTGATTACTTTATATGTTGCAAAATATTTCCCCATTTCTCCAGCTTTCTTTCCTTTCTGAAACTAAAAACACATTCATATATGCACACAAATATATTTAAATAAGCTTTGAGTCTCAAATCAAATTCTTCCTGTATACTGACACTAAAGTGTTTTTACTGTTATTGGTCCTTAGAATTTTTACAAATTTATATTACATTATCTATCTGTCTATCTATCTATCTATCTATCTATCTATCTATCTATCTATCTACTTTTACCTTTTACAGTTAATCAAAATCGCTCCTCTCCTACTTCTGGGTTTCACTCTCCAGAAGTTACCATTTTCAACTCAGTGAAGAGTCATAAACGAATCAAAAGTTTTAAAAATTTGATTG